AGAGAGAGAGAGAGAGAGAGAGAGAGGTGTAGGGGGCGTTGGTTTGTCGGTCGGTTGGCGACAGAGCATCGTACGATTCCGTTTAAAATGCCGGCAGTATTTAATTGATGGGCGGGGTAGTAATCGACGATACACCGATTGCTCGTCGAAAGGGGGTTTAATATTAATTACTGGAGTTTGTTTCATGGCGTTACGAGAACGCCGCCNTATATATATGTATGCGTGTATACATCGGACACTTTTCGTTTTTTGTTCTCTTCAACCTGTCGTCGATCGCCGCCTAGAATGTTATTTAATTACGAGAACAATTATGCGTACGGTTAAGCGAGAAGCTGCTTATGTCCAACGAATATTTGACTTTTGAAAGTTTTTTTTAATAATTGGTAAAAAAGAAAAGAAGAATCGGTTGATCATTGACTCTATTTTCTCGTATGCTTCTTATTTTTCTTTTTTCTTTTCTAAATAAATCGGTGGAAAAGAGAGAAAGAAATATTACGATGGATTTTGGATATTCTTCGTATTTTTTCGAAAATACGATATTACAATGATTTTTCTTTTCCAATTTTTTAAAAAAATTAATCGATCGATAACCCGAGAGAGACACACCGAGGTAACACACCGGAGCTGGAGCTTTCGATTAAATTGTGTCACGGCTTTTTCCTCTTTTTTTTTTTTTTTTTTTTTTTCATTTTAAAGAATTCCGTTAAATTGAAAGATCGGTTCGGATACGTCGTTCATTATTCAGCTATCTCTGTACAGCTTTTTCCTTTTTTCCTTCCCTTCCTCTCTCTCTCTCTGTCTTCCTCTTTTGTAAAAAAAAAAAAAAAGAAGAAAGAAAAAAAAGGAAGAGAAAAGTTGGCGAACCGCGAATCGAATAAAATCCGTGTCGAGAAGTGTGATGCGTGCGTGTGCCCACTTGGCACGGGGACATTGTTTCGAACACGTCGCGCGTGTATTATCTTTGGCACACGATGTCCCGCGCGCCACCGTTTCAAAGAATAGACGTTTGTACTCATTCATTAAACAGACGTAGAATGGATGTCCGCCGAATGGACAGCGGACACGCGATCGACTATAGAACATCCGACATTGATACTCTTTTTTCAAATGGGTGGAAAAGAGGGAAGGCCTGGACAATCCCGCCTTTCTTTTTATTATCACGCGCGTGGAGGATCGCGGTTATTTAACATTAAAAATTATCGATAATAAGAAAGCTATTGGATGGAAAGGAACGTCTCTCCTCTTTGGAATTTTATTTTTCGAGTGACAGTGAATTAGTGATTTATAAATAAAATATATTAGTATAATTAATTATACAAAAGTTAGCGAATGAAAACATCTTAATCTTGGTTTAATTGTGAATAGGGAATTTATTTGGAATCAGAATTATAGATTTAAAAATGGAAAGGTATCAATGTAAAATAATATTTATCTTTTCAAAAATAATTCAAAGTTGTTAAGCATCGTG